TGACTCATTTGTTACTTTTTTTTTTCTTTTTTGTGATAAATTAAGACACTAGGAACCAGTTTATATCAATTATCAGTAGTGCATCCTACCATTTGCTTCTGTTTTGACTTCTTTCTCCATAAGCAAGTGGATTTTTTTACCTGTTCTCATTTATGTTCGGTTGCACTTCAGTAATTTTTCTTGACTAAGAATGGTTTGTTCTTTGCCAAATCAGAACGAAATAGCTTAAAATATCTTATTTTTGGAGCATAAACGATATCATACTAAACCCTATAATTCGATGAATTTAGGTATAACTATATAAATCCTTTTTCTCGCTTTATGGTTCATTGCTAGATCTATTTGAAGATTGAAAGAAACTAGATTTTTAGCAACCACAAGAAGTTGTGTTAATTTGGTTTGAGCTTTCTCTTATAACCTGTTCCACTGATGTTACGTTACTCTTATGATCATAAGCTTGTTTAGGTTTATGCAAAATACTTCAATACCGCTAAAGTAGGCACCCTATCATTGGCTTTTTGAAGATCAATATAAGCTATATTGGAAAAGAGTTGTTCAGGATTTATTTCTTCTGCTAGTACTATCTGTTTTGTTGGCAACATTTCCAGATTCCTAGGGGTACTGATTCACAGTCACAGGGGGGTCCAACCCAGGTCCCTCCTGCATTCAAGAACTTCTCCATGGCCCAAAAGGAAAAAACGCTTGAACAACTGATGCAGGATAATTGGCTGTGTTTGACACTAGATGGAAAAATTGGACTTGGAGTTAGATCCTTTCTAGATCTCCGAAGTTGGTTCCGTACTAATGAGGTTCCTGCATGCGAAGTTTGCAACGAAGCTGCAGTGAAGGTTTGTGTTGTCTGAGATCTAATATTTAGTTTCTGGCGCCTAACACTTTATTTGTTTTAAAAAAAAATTCCATGCTGCATAATTGCTATATGCTTTAATTGGTACTTCGTTTCATTAGAGAACATCACATGATCAGTTTTTGCTGACCAAGCCCCTGATTGGCTTTACAAAAAAGTACCAGAATCCTTGGTTCTTTAATTTGACTGTCTTTCTCTAAGGAAGAATTGACATATAAATTATAATCTAGTTCACTGACTTTTTCTTGAGAAACATGGAATATACTTAATATAGAAGATCCAGACAAATCCCCAGCATCATGAATCCATGATATGCACCCTCTTCTCTCTCCGGGGGAAGGAAAAACTAAATTTCTGTTGCTCTAGACATAATCTACATATTTGATTGAATGCATTTGCAAATGAAGACAGACTTGTTAATTTATTTAATTAAGACCATCAAATGGAGATATGTTATTGTTGTTGTCCAAAAGTGGCTAAATTTTTGGACCCCTTTCTTATGCACCAATGGTTTAGTAGTAGGATTTAAGAGATTTGCTTAATTTTGCCATTGAAACTGATGTTTCTGTTACTACTATTTCGTACAGGCTCAACTTTGCCCAAATGAAGGTTGTAATGTTAGAATGCATCCATATTGTCTGAAAAAGAAATTCTCACGAAAACAGGTATTGTTTGTTTCTGTTCATCACGTCTAGGATTTTGCAATCCCCTCAATGAGGTGGACTAATATGAATAACTTTGATATTCAGGTCGAAAGAGTTTGTCCCGGATGTGGGACAAAATGGCCCGGTTCAGCAGTCAAAGCAGAAGCTGTACAAGAAGAGAACGATCCAAATCTTACTTCTCAGAACTCACAGCCCCCGGAACCTTCCGTGAGAGCAAAGCGTAGGATCCGAGAAGTTGGCATCAACAATGCAGAATCTGATTCTTGTCCAGTATCTGCATCTCTTCACGAGACTAAGAGAGTCACTCGAAATTCTGCCCGGCTGAAGAGTTTCAGATAATGTATCTGCCGTTTGCGTATGATTTTGCCCTTGCATTCCTAGGATAAACCTCGTCGATATGTTGTTTATATTTTGATCCTGTCCCTGAATTCCTAGGATAAAACCTTGTCAAATTACTCTTGCTTTGCATGGTGACTCATGGAAGTGGCTTCAAACTGTAGTTTTGATAGTCTTGGCAAATTATTGGCTGTAGGTGGTATCTGAATTAAGCTACTCGTACACCCATTATGTACACCTTTGTTTATATCCTCCCATGCGTCACAAATCTGACCATTGATTGAAAAAGTTATTGTTAAATCCAATGTACCAAAATCTGTCAATTCACATGGTTCAAGCCAAGGTGTCGACCTTGGTGTACATATAGCATGGTTCATGTTATCTCACTTCTGTATCAAGTACTTTATTGTGAATTTAATATATTTTTCAATTATCTAAGGTGAATATTGCCAAATTTAATTGAAGGTGGGTTGGACCGGCAGCCGGCTTGTCACAAAAAGAGGAAATTACACAAAATCAGATTTTTAAAGATTCAATTTAAAAAATCAGATTAAAGGTTTTAACTTTTCAAAAATCAAACATTTTATTTTAAATATTAAATATTAATTGGACTATTTTTATCTCAAATCCTAATCAATTTCATTTTAATTTTCTTCATCCTCTCTTCTCACTCTCTCTACCTTCTCTCATCTTCGTCACTCTCTCCTCAACTCTTTGATCTCCTCGTTCTCCGCGGACAGTCAGCCTCCACGCAACAGCTCATTGTTGAGTCTAAACAGTCCATTCTCAAATTACAGCGGCCCAGATCGTCGGAAGATCTGCAGATCTCGGAAAGGCCATTCCTTCACTGTAAACGCCACTGAAGGCTCTACAGATTGCTGTTGCAGTGGCGTAGATCGCGATGGTGATGGCGCAGATCGTGGCTGCAACGACACATATCGCAGTTACAGTGTTTTTTTTTTTTTTAATTGCTAGATGGGTGGGAGTAGTTTCCATGTTTTGGTGACTTTGGGGGTGATGTGGTTGTGGTGGTGGCGGTGAGATGGTGGTGGTGGCCCTATTGGTGGTTATGGTGAGGTATTGACGATGATGATGGCACTAGAGGTGGCGGTTCATGTGGTGGTAGCGTTGGTGGAGGCAGTCAAATTTTGTTGCTTGCGATTTGGTGTTTGGGCGGCGATGGATGGGCGGTGATTTTATTGATTTTTGGGCAATGATTTTGTTGATTTTTGGGAGGCGATACGGTGTTTGGGCGATTGTTGGTGCGGTGGTGACAGTGGTTTTGTTGGAGGTTATGGTGACGAGGTGGTGGTGCCGGTGGATTTGAAGTTGAAAATTCGTTGGAGGTGGTCGGCGACGATGATGGTAGGGTTGGGAATTTTTATTGGTTGTAGGATGGGGGTGGAGGTGGTGGTGGTCCGATGACGGGGTTTCGGTTGCCATGCTGCTGGTGGCAGTGGTGAGGTAATAGTCACAAGTGTTGGTAGTGGTCACATATTATTTGATTGTTTGTGACCATTAAATTGATTAATATGTGATCTATAAACAAATTGTGACCAATGAAAAAGATAAATTATGACAAAAAAAAAAATAATGTGTGACCCAAAAGATTGTTAATTTGTGACTTATGACCTATTAATAAAGTGTGATGTTTCAATTTTTGATTTGTGGTCGATGAACAAATTGTGACTTATAAATTTTTGAATTGTGGTTAAAATAATTTGTGATTTGTGACCAATGAATAATACGTGACTTATTAATTTTATAAATTTGTGACCGATGAAAAATTTGTAACCTATAAAATTTTCGATTTATTATTGTGAAATAATTTAACTATAAAATTGTTTATTGTGACCAAGAAATAATTTGTGATCAAATTATATGAAATTGTGACCTTAATATATTTAATTAATAAAATATATGTTTAATTTATTTATTTATAAATAAAATTTAAAAATAT